GGGGGGAGCTACACCCCGAAAGTCCCGAGTCGGCTCAAAACTACCGATTTTAAGTTGTAGGCATTTTTAGCTTCTTCAGCCTATCTTACAACTATTTCATCACATGCCGACCCCCTAAAGCCTTATTTCTTCCCATAACGGACATGTTTGTCACCACCATTTCCTCATAAAGTCAATATTTTATTTTTCTTTATCGCTGGTTTTCTCGAAACATGGCTTTTCTATATACTTTTAGAATAACTCCACCATTTTGTATGCATTCTTCATGAAATTTTCAGAGAATGAAGAGTAGATGTAATGCTAGAAATTTGTGAGATGAATTTTTGATACATGGCATAGCCTTTTGTTGGTGGTGTTTGGAGTGTGGATTTTCACGGATTTTTTTTTTGCAAACGTGAATACGACCTCAGGAAAAAATCATTAAAATACTTCTAGTACGTTTGGGAAAAATTCATCACACAAATTTGTAGATCTATTGCTTGCTAAGATGCGTGCACCCCCTCTCCAAAAGAAAAAAGAATCTTTTCCATGAAAAATAAGAGCGGTATTAATTACAAAAGACATGTAAACAAACTCCAATTTTGTCGCCGCATCCATGGAAATGATTTTTTTTTCTTAATTTGATTGAGGACTCCTTATTATGCTTGTTATATGTGTGTACTTTGGTAATATTTGATCCACTAATAAGCGAGATAGCCCTGAGTGATGACACTGATTTCATCCCGGTGGGTGTGCAGTATAAAGTAATGACTTTGCACATCATCCGAGGAGCCAGAACCATCCACTTCGCTGGGTATCTAGACCGAATGAGTGCCAAATGCAGAATCCAGCTGCGCTCAAAGTACTGGTACATGCATACTTTTTCGTTTAGTATCAACATTACCGTGGCCTATTCCTAGATAATGTACTGACGAACGAATCTGGCAATGGGAGACCCGAAAAAGGACATCGTGAAACTGAAGAAGTTTCAGGCATATCTTGCCTGCCAACTGCCTTATGAAAATGGACAGTGGCAAGAAGCGAGGCAGCCCAACACTGGAAGAAGCCCAGATG